TTCGAAATTTTATTTATCTTTAGAAGGGAAGAGAAGGAGAGAAATATCAATGTATGGTTGCTTCTGGTGCATCCCCTGCTGGGAACTGGCCCCTGCTGGGAACTGGCCTGCAACCCAGGCATGTGCCCTGACGGGGAATCGAACCGAGATCTTTTGGTTCGCAGGCCCGTGCTCAATCCACTGAGCTACACCAGCCAGGGCTTTGTTCCTTATTTTAAATGAGAAGCAGTGGATGTCTCAGTATGTTTCTTTGTTGATTTCTCTGGGATAAATCCCCAAAGCGGAATCATTGGTCAAAGCCTACGAACCTTTTAAAAGTCTCTGAGAACCTGTCAAATGGACCTGTGGCAGGTTACACATCCCTTCAGCCCCCGCCCACCCTGTAGAGAGGCGGGTCCTGCCCCCCCAACTCTGGCTTTGGCAGGTGGGGTACATTTGAAACACAGCCTGATCCCCAGCACTGGGCTCCTCCCTGAGATGCAACAGCTGCCAACAGTTGACCTTGAAGGTCTGGCCCACAGAAGAGAGACCGAATTTGTCCTTTTTGTTTAGGGTGGGGGGATTTGTCCCTTGAGGCCTTTAGGATGTGGCCCACCAGCAGTGTGAAGACCTCCCTGGTGATCCCAGATGCCACACCACGGCTCCCCCACCCCACCCCTGCAGCAAGGACTCCGCCGTGACTCTGCTGAGGCTGAAGCTCTGAGGTTCAAGGACCAGGTGGCAGATGAGACCCAGGACCCCTGAGAACCCTACCACTGGGACAGTTCTGTGAGCTGACCATCTAAACAGTGATTCTAAGTTATGAAACATTGGAAAGTCTTGACTCCACTCATCAAACCTCTGTTTTCTCAGCAGTAAGGTAGGGTTAGGAGGATTAAATGTGACTGTATTAATATAATAAAGTAACGGTAGCCATGAGTGTTGGTGTGACCGGGGGTATGTGTACAGGTGTGAGGAGGTAGCATTATGGAGCAGTGAAGAGCCAGGTCCGCTTTTCTCTCTGGTCCCACCGCCACACAAACCGGAGCAGAGCTCAAAGGCATTGGAGGGGGAAGGTTCTGGGAGAGGATTGTTCACATTTTTCTCCACCTTTTTTTTTGATTGTTCACATTTAAAAAATTTCAAACCAAGCTTCCTTTAGAACACCTAGTACATACACTTTACTTGTTTGCGCTTTAGTTTTTCCGTCTTGCAGAGTAACGATTACACAGGGTTCCTAAAGTCTAACAGGACGGCAAGGCCCAAAGCACCGCAAGTGATGTGCTGGCGTCCGCCTGCACGGGCTTGTGACAGCATATTGGTAAAATTTTAGGAGTTCTGCAAGCTGGTTGTTAAATACAGCCATTATTAAACATTAAATTATGCAAACTTTCAATTAAGTAAATTCTATTAAAAACAGACGTACTTCTTATTAAAGTCAGTACATTCTAATTATTTTACTACAGTTTGCGCTCTTGAAATGATTTGCATCTATCACGCACTCGACGTCTGGTAGGAGGGGGCTCCGCATCCACAGACGCGACCAACCGCCGATCTGAGGCGTTTGGAAAACTGTTACGTTGTTGCTGACGTGAACTGTGTAGTTAGGTTTGTGGTGGTTACGTCTGTACGCAACCACCTGCAATAACACCTGCAGACTTTTTCTTGTCTTTATTTCCTAAACATGGCAGTATAACAAGTATTTACACGGCATTACGTCATATGAGGTATTATAAGTAAGTAATCTAGAGCTGATTTAAAGTAGACAGGAGGATGTGTGTGTATGATAATCAAGAACTACGCCACTTTATATAAGGCACTTGCACAACTGCGGATTTGGTATCCACAGGGGTCCTGGCCAATTCCCCACAGATACTTAAGGATGGCTGTATCTATAAGACAGAAATATTATATAACACGTGCTATCGTGAGTCTCTTCTAACTCCGCTTTTGGTGAGATCTCCCCACAAGTTGGAATTAGCCGCAGCGGGACTATTTACACCACTCAAATGGGCAAATGCTACAACCCGGGGCCTCTTTCCTACTGGGGAGCTGGTGGTCGGACACCTACCAGCACCCCACGGCCTCTGCCCTCCACCCCGTCCCACTTCACCGTACCTCTCATTTCCCAGTGCCTAAAGGTGGCTGCTTTTGTTGCTTTTAGCTGTTTTTCTTTTTGCACTTATCCTCATATTTCTTAATTACCTGCTTTTACGGCCACGTCTCGATTTTTTAGACATTATCTATTGACTTCCCATTATGGAAGATGTGGACCTGGCTGTCTTCCCGCTCTGCCTCCCTCTCACTCACACACACACACACACTCCCTGCCTCTGTCCTCCTAGCATATTAAAGCACAACTCGTTTAAATAAATATTTGGGTTTTCCATTATTATAACTATGTAAATATTGTACAAATCACCATGCATTATGATTGCACTAGCTTTCTTATACATCTTTTTCTCCTGGAATTAATCGTTGTATTTTTAATTTGCTTGATTTCTCTGTGGAACACTGGTTTTTAAACTTTTCTTCTCAGCAATATAATTGTTTTTCTAGCAAACATTTCTGTGAAATTCTACTGTATAAAACAGGAAACCCAGACCTGCCAGGTTGAAAGCCTTCTCTTCAGGGCAGCCACAGAGGTTGTTTACTACAGAACTCTAGGGGCCATTCACGTAAACAACAGCGCGATTAAGTCATGATGGTTATAATTACCTGCCCCATTGGGGGATGCAGCCATTGTACAAAGAGAGGTCCGCCCAGACACGTACACTACATCAGGATTATTCTGTTTTCAAAAGACTTACTCCCTTCCCAACACAGGGCTCTGACCTCTCCCCATTCTGAATAGGTTCCAGGGATGTTGCTTCACTGGTCCCTCTAGTGCATCACCCACAGGCTGCTGGCCAGAGCTGCTGTTAGCTGATGGCCACCTATTGACTGATTCAGTGCCCCTCAGATTTGCCTGGCCTGGGCTGGGTGCCAAAAGCTTAATGCAAACAGCTTTGCTCAGGGATCATTCCAACGCAGCCTCTGGGATTCGATGTCAGAAATGGCTCTGTCAGAGACAGTGCAGGGCCCGTCTGCCCAGGGCCATCGGAGCTGGAGGAGGGGAGCTGGCCAGCCGTGAGCAGTGGGGTTCAAAAAGCTCAACCTTGATGGTCTCCCCTAGGTAGGAGTCAAATTCACAGGGTTGTCATAAGAGTTAAATAAGGTAAGGTGCAACCCTCATAAATCCCAGGGCCATGTATGGCTCAGTCTCTGCTCAAAGTCTCACCTAAAGAAACGTCGTTCAACAGTCTGAAAGTAATTGCAAAGACGTTCCAATTTGAACTGCATCCCTCGTGTGATGTCAGAGGGGATCCCATTCTTTACTGATACCCATCGTCCCCAAATCCTTTTCCTCCACTCTCTGGTTTCCCCGCCATGTCCGCACCAGTAAAGCTTTCTGGAGGGCAACCCCTGAGGCTTTTTCCCACTCTTTCTCTGCCTCCTTCCTCACCCACCACCCCACTGCCGTCTCCTCCTAGGGCTCTTTTTCCTCCACCCCTGCTGTCATCGCCAGGTCACCAAAAAATAAATAAATAAAAAACAAAGGATCTGGAATTGAGCCAACAGAGATGCAAGCAGGAAGTGGGGGTGGGGTGCGGAGAGGTGACGGCAGGACCCACTCTGGTGAAGCAGAGGGCACCGTGGCAGGGCCACGGCAGAAACTGGTTCTCTTTTCCAGTCCGGGCACCTGAAGGGGCGTGAGGAGTAACCCACCCAAGGTGCCTCTGACCACCTAACCACCATTAGCAGGGGGGCGGTGATCAGAAGAACTCTCTCCATGTCCTCCGACTCCCCCAAAAACTAGTATTAAAAAGGCGGAGACACAGTTTCTGCCTTGTTTCCCTTCCCTGCCCTGCCTCCTTTTATAGACACTAAGCATGGACCTACCCTTCCTGTATCCTCCACCGCCACATCCCTTGTTCCATCTTTTGTGGACTCGACTCTGCTCATAGGATGTCTTTCGGGTCATGTACTGAGCACCTACTATGTGCCGGGCTTGGTAAGAGCTGGAGAGTCAGAGACAAGGAAGACATCGCCCTGCCCTCAGTTGCTCACAAATAGAAACAGACCACAATTCTATGCGATGACGTTATGATGAAGAGAAACCCAGAACGCCGCAAGTGCACAGAGGAGGAGCTCGTGACCCACTGAGAAAGGTCAAGGAAGACTTCCTGGAGGAGGCGTCCTCTAATCTGTCCAGTAATAATAACTACTATCATATATTGAGCAATCTTTATGATGATACTCTCCACACTCAGCATTTTGCTAAGCACATTAGCTCATTTCATCTTTACAACAATGCTAAGAGGTAGGTGTTGCTATCCACATCTCAGAAATGAAGCAACTAAGGCTAAGAGAAATTCATTGACTTCACCCACCCCTTATAGCTGAAAGGTGGCAGAGCTGTGATTCAAACTTGGGCCTGCGCGACTCCAAGGACTATGATTTTAACCACAGGGCCCCGCGTACAGGTGTCGGAGGTGTACGCTGAACAAGCCTGCCATATCTGGGGGCAGCACTGTTCACATTGCTGGCAGAACAATTTATGTATATGACAGTGTTCAGGTGGACGCTGAGGCTCGGGCCTCTGCACGGAATCCAGGCCTGATGCAGCACCTCTCCTGGGTGCAGCAGGGAGTGTGGGCACGGGGGACAGTGTGTACCCACCCCCATGTCTGGGTGCACGCTCGCCAGGGCAGCCACCTTTGGTCATTCAGGTGGACAGCAGCATCTTAACTTCAAACGTTTTCACTTGAAGAAGAGGCCCCTTTTGCTAATTTGCACAAAGGTGTCATGTGGACCAGCAGCTCCTCCCGCCCCACCCTCTCCCTTGCCCCGCCCCATCACCTGGGGAGATACAGGGCGCTCTGGCCCATCCTGATGCAGGAACTCAGAGACGAATGCTGTCCTTCCAGGGCCAGCCCAGGGCCATCAGACTAATGTCCTTCTCTCTCTCTTCCCGGCAGACAGGCAGGATTGAACCCAACTACCCCAAGGTCTGTGGTCACCAAGGGAATGTGCTGGACATCAAGTGGAACCCCTTCATTGACAACATCATTGCCTCGTGCTCGGAGGACACGTCGGTGAGCAGGAGGGAGGGTCCGGAGGAGAATGGGCCACCGGGGTGCCTCCTGCTCCTGTGAGGCCTTCCTCTTTAAAGTCTTCCTCCCTCCCCCTTCTTTGCCCTTCGTCTGACCCAGGATGGGGAGTTAGGATAAGGACTGATCAACAGATCTTGTGTCATTAGAGTGCTTTTGTTTGGAGGTATTCTTTTATGGGTGGCAAATTAGAACACAAAGATTAAATATGTGATTCAGCACCTATGTGTGGTTTGAAGAGGAGAAGGGCAGGAGGGGGAATATGGACAAGGAGGAAGGGGACAGGGAAGAAAATGGCTGAGCCATATGGAAAAGAGCCCTGTTTCTGCAGGCTGGGCATGGCAGATGCAGTCTGGCTTTGTCCCCTGGGCGGAGGAGGGATGATTGGATGAGAGCGAAAGGATAGATGGGTGAATGGAAAGATAAGTATGTGAGTGAATGAATACGGCCCAGCTAATCGGTTATCCAAAGAGAGTCACAGTACATAGTCCCCACTGATTAATAATAAAGGTGGGGTGGGGAGACCAACTGGCACAGCACGTATTACAAGGGAGTAGCGGGGCAGGGCCTGAGAGAGTGGAACAGGCTTGACCAGCTCCGGAAGGTTTTCAAAGCCCTAAGTCAACCCAAGAGGGTCGCTGAGAGCAGCAGCAGCAAGAACAGGGCCCACGTGAGCAGAGGACCAAGAATGGGTGGTGACATGGGCCATTAGGTTCAATTACTTTGTTCAACTAAATGGGGACAGTGACCTGGGGCCAGAGCACAGGCAGGCCAGAGGATGGACACGAGGTGATGGAGCCCAAGACAGGTCTGGAAGCCCGGGAAGAAGGAGGTTGCTGGTTGCTTCCTGGCTGGGGGAGGAGGCAGCTGGAGCTGGTGGGCGCTGGAGAGGTCAGTGGTGAGCGTGGGTAAGGCCGGGCTCACCAGGAGAGAGGGTAGCTGGCGATGCTGCCCATCCCCCTCTTCCAGGCACAGGGAGGCCAGGGGGTGCCGGCAACCACAGCAGCCCCGTTGGGGCCGTGCAAAGTGTTCAGCGACTCTCACCATCCACCAGGGAGCAAACCCCCTGAAACTCAGGGCTGCCTTGTCTGGACTCCTTCACCCTGTCTGAGCTGGACACTGACACACAACAGGCCCCTGTGGCCACCCTGTGAGCCAGGCACTGCAACCCCCAAACTGAGGCTTGGGGGCAGGTCACACAACCGGGAAGCTGAGGAGGGCTCGTGGTCCCCAGCCCTTCCTGCTCTACGAAGTCTCAGCATGACGTGAATCCAGAGTCCTGAGGGAGCCTCAGGCCCCTCCGGCGGCTCCTGTCTCCGGGGGAGTCAGCTGGGAAAGAGGAGAGCAGGGTCCAGCTTGCGATGGGGAGGAACAGGCTAGGCCAGAGCTCCCCAGGTCACCGGCCATCCTGGTTCCACCTCAGGTGAAAACTTCTGCTCGAGTCAGGGCAAGGGTGGCAGGGGTCACTGGTGTCCACAGCCCTTCCCTGTTCTCACTGAGCACCCTACGTCACCTGGGAATCAGGTACCTCCTGCTGCAGGACCCCAGCTAATGAACCACACATCTGTGCCATGTGTTCAAGAAGAGCACAAGCCCCAGCCCTGGCCACAGGAGCCAAGTGCTCCCTCCCACAGTGTGCCCGCTGTGCTCCTGGATGCTGGGCTTCAGAGCAGGCTTGGCCATGGATCCGACTGCCCTGGGATTGAATCTCAGCTTCACTTTTCACCAGCTGGGTGACCGAGGCCATGCTACTCACCCTCCCTGAGCCTCACTTTTGCTCATCTTTGTAGTAGTGATAATAACGGTACATCCCTGTCAGTTGCAATGAGGACAAAAGGAAGTCTCTGCTAGTCTCAGCCCTGCCCTGGAAGCTCCCCCAGCGGAGGGGCAGCGTTGCACCCCATTCACTGAAAGGCTGTACAGAATGAAGCCACCGCAGCCACTGAAGGTCAGGCAGGGCTGTGTGCCCAGGCAGGAGAGAATAATTAATTTTGACCAAGACACAGGCAGGACAGAGTAGGGGAGAGAGCTGGGGCCTGGGGAGGCAGGACTTCGATGGCGAAGGGTAGAAGGATGCCCCGGGGGGGGGGGGGCAAAGGCACAGGCCTGAAGGGAGTGTGTCTTAGTCGTCCTGGACCAGTATGACAGCATGCAACAGACTGGCTGGTCCAGGAACAGCAGATGTGTATTGCTCCGAGTTCCGGAGGCTGGGAAGTCGGAGGTCAGGGTGCCAGCATGGTCAGGTGCTTACTGTGTCCTCACACTGTGGACAGGGCCGGGGAGCTCTCTAGAGTCTCTTTCATAAGGCACAAATCCCGCTCCTGAGGCCCCACCCTCATGACCCAGTCACCCTGCAAAGGCCTCAGCTCCTGCTTACATCACCTTTGGGGGTTAGGATTTTAACATTTGAATTTTGGGGCGACACGAACATTCAGACCATAGAAGAGTGCGTGCGTGGAAAGTGGAGGTGTCGGGTGTGGCTGCAGTGCTAGGGAGGTGGCCAGGGAGGGGAGTGGGCGGGAGAGGGACATGAAGGGAGGCTGGGAGCAGGGAGAGACGGCTCGGGATGCCGGGGGCACAGCTGCACTTTGAAGTGAGGCCTGTGCGACTCATGCCCTGTGAACATGAGCCGGGACACCGGCGGGCTGTGTGTGGGAGTCACTGCATGGTCTGGGGGGGGGGCAGGGGAGGGGAATTAGTGGGGCTGAAGGGTCAGGACTGGCTTTGTGGAGGAGTGGGGCCCAAGCCAGCTGGACAAGTGCTGGAATGTGGCTCCACAGAGAGAAGGGGAGCCCCCAGGGGAGGGGGTGAAGAGAAAAGGCACCGGGTTTGGGGGACAGGGAGGGGGGTGGCTGGCCCAGGCTCTGATCCAGAGAGAAGGAGATTAAGTCTCCAGACCAGAGAGGAACTGAGAACTCTTGCTCTGGTGGCCAGCCCAGCTACCCCAGAAGCAGCAGCTCTGAGTCCTTCTTTGTCCCACGAGCCTCTGTCCCCCCCCCCAACCTCAGGGCTAAGGGTCTGGGCCAGGAGCCAATAGGCCCCTGAGGCTGGAGCCTAGCCCCCCTTGGAGAAAAACACACTGAAGCCCCAGGGACAGCGCCTTGTCCCAGGTCACACAGGGAGTCTGTGTCCCAGGCAGGGCTGTGACCCAGGTCTCTTGACTCCCAGCCAGTGCGCTGAGCACCTCACCTGCAGCTGCAGCGTTACACGTGAGGAAACAGGCTCAGCATCATGGAGGGCCCAGATCCCTCAAACGCTAGGTACTTACACCTGGCATTCTGTCTGTGCGAAGCCCACGTGGCGCGCCTGGACCAGGTCCTGGGAGGGTGTGATGCACAGGCATTGCAGGCTGCAGCTCCTGGGGCCGGAGAAGGCCAGTCTGTCTGCCAGGGCAAGCACCTGAAGGGAGGGCCTCTGAGAGGCCCCGACCCACTCCAGCCCAAACGGTCAGCTTACTACACGTCAGAAATGACATCCAGAACCAGGGTTCAGAGGTCCATCAGCAAACCTACTGTGTGCCAGGCACTGTGGCCAGGGAGGGAACTGGCCCAAGGGGGCCCAGGAGAAGCTGCTCACAGTGGGTCTGCCTGTGCGCCCACTCCCTGTCCCCACCCCCCACCCTCGTGCTCTGCTTGTCTCGAAACATTCCGAGGACACTGAAGGGGTCTAGCAAGCCTCCCCCCCCCTCAGTGCCTTTCCCGTATCCCCCATCCTTTCAGAATCTCTAGTGAAATCCATCCCGCCTGTCCCCGAGGATCAGGGTCCCCTCCCGCAGACTGTGGGAAGATCCCTGGGAGTCTAACCCACCCTCCAGGACCCTGTGGAACACACCCAGGCCCATTCCCAAGGGCTCCTGTCAGGAGGGAGGGGTGGGGGCCGTAACTCTCTGGCATCTGGCAGAATCCAGTTCTTTCTGCTGCTGGGTGATGTCACCTATTGTTGAAGGGCTGTGCTTTTTATAGCTTCTGCCGCAGCTCCGGAGGGCGGCTGGCAGGCAGCAGGGAAGGGCGCTATGGGCTTCCAAGCCTCCTGCTCTCAGCACTTCTGCAGCCGCAGGGAGAGCTCTTTCTTCCTTTCTTTCTTTCTTTCTTTCTTTCTTTCTTTCTTTCTTTCTTTCTTTCTTTCTTTCTTTCTTTCTTTCTTTCTTTCTTTCTTTCTTTTTCCTTCCTTCCTTCCTTTCTTCCTTTCTTTCTTTCTTTCTCTTTCTCTCTTTCTCTTTCTTATTATTTTATTTTATTGTTGTTCTATTACAGCTGTCCCAGTTTTCCCTCATTGCTCTCCCTTGCCCAGCCCACCCCCGACCCCCCTCAGTCAGTCCCCACACTGTTGTCCTTGACCATGGGTCCTTTATACAGGTCCCTAGACTAGACCCTTCCCCTCCTGAAGGGGGGAGAGAAGGGAGAGTTTTCTGACAACTAGAGGAGAGGAGGGAGTGGTCTCAGAGGAGTGAAGGAGGAGGGAGAGGGAGGCAGGCCCCGCTCCCTGGTGGGCCGAGCTCAGCACCTTTCCTTTGCCTACTATCCCTCTGCTCCTCAGTCCAACGGCTGCCCTCAGCCACCTCATCTCACCCCACCCTCCTCAGAGAGGATGCGCTGGGGGTGGGATGGGGCTCTACCAGGGGCAGCCTGAAGCCACCCACCACCCTGCCTCCTACACACTTGAGAATCAGTACCTCTTGGAGCTGGGAGGGAACCACAGACCCTTTTTAGAGATAGGAGGACAGCTGACCGATCCACTGGGCAGCCACGGAGACACTGGCAGTGTGTCTCGGATGTCAAGCAGCCAGGCTGTGCAGGCCACAGGCCTAGGCTCAAGCCATGATTCTGCCAGTCTCCAGCTGTGCGACCTTGGACCTGTTCCTTTACCTTTCTGGGTCCCAGTTGCCCTGCCTCAAATTGGGAACCCTATTGGTTCTCAATCATGAGAACCAAATGAATATAAAAATGTTTCATGGCTCCTAAGAACTCCATAAATATTAACTGCTA